CCAGTTTATACTTCCCAACAATATAGCCTCACCAACACTGTTTGCTATAAATCTTTTCAACTTTTGCCAAATTTTTTTAGTATAGTTGACACAATTTTTACAAATTTTAATAAGTGAAAATGAATCCCATTGTTTTCACATTTCTTATTACCAGACAGGCTCAGCACTTTACAAATACGTACTGGGTATTTTTGTATTTCTTGTACAAATAGCCCATACATATTTGCAAGATGGACTTTCCCTGCGGCCAAAAGCTGAAGTCAGACATATTGTTTAACAGCAGTGCTCCATCCCCCTAGAATGCAATGTTATGTCCCTGATGCCCAATATTTGTAAACATTCTCTTAAATGAAAGCATTAACTATTTGTCTAAATTCTTCCCAAACAGTAACACAATCCCTGAGTATAAAAGTGCAATGGCCCAGAGGGCACCCAAGTGGCTCAGTTGGTTGAGTGTCTAACACTTGGTTTTGGCTCTGGTCGTGATCTCAAAGTCGTGAGATCAAGGCCCAGATCAAGGCCCACACTGGGCTTGGAGCTCAGCACCCAGTCTGCTTGAGATTCTCTCTTGCCCTCCCTCTGCCCCTCTTCCTGTTCTCACATGCTCTCTTTCTAAAATAAAGAAAATCTTAAAAAAATAAAAAATAAAAAAGTACAGTGGCCCAGGACAAAACTCATTTTCTCTAATCCAGCAAGGACCGACCTTACAAGAAAGTCACTGGGCAGTAGCACAGCTCCTCCCTGTTAAGTCTGAGGCACAGAGAGAACTCCATGGAGATGTCACATCTGCTCCTGCCTGTGGGATCACTTGACTGTCACTAACTGCAGTCTTCACCCAGGTCAAATCAGTATGCTCATGAATCAACATGAGCTCTCTTCCTGCTGGTCCTTAGCCCACTGAATGGGATGCAATAAATATTTTATTCCATTTCTGCTTTTTCATCTTACTGATTTGTTCTAGGAATATTAAACTTTCACATGTCATGTAAGTCATAAATATTTTCTCTCAATCTATCATCTTTTACATCTGTGATATCTTTGGCCTCATTCTGAGCTTTTAGACATCAGATCTGTTAACTTCTCCTTTACACCTTTTGGGTTTGTTTTGCACTCCTCATACAAATGATTAAAATTCTTACTTTTTATTTGTTCCGAATTTTGTCTCAATAAAATGAAATCTTAAATAAGATTTTAAGTAAAAGATCTTTAATCTCCAAATGGTTAGCCATTTGGACTCTTTCCTTTTCCTCACAGACATAAAATGCAGCCTATAGCATATATTATTAAAATTTTATATATGGTTGTTAAGTTTGTTTCAATGATCAATTTCTGCATCAATACCACACTTCTTGTATTATAGCTTTCTATATTCTAAAACATCGTAAGTCAACTCTCCCATTATAATGTTTCTAAAAGTTTACTTACTACTTTTGTGAATTTATTTTCTAAATCTTTATCAGCTGAACAAGTTCTTTAAAGTCTTACTGAAATTTTTATTCAGATTACACTGAATTTATAGCAAAAAATGGCAGCCATCTATACAATATTGAGTATTACCATACAGGAATATTGCCTATTTTCTCATTTCTATCTCCTTCTTTTGTTTTATTCATAAAGATCTTGCAGTCTTGTTAAATTTATACCTGGATAGTTTATACCAACTGTATTTTCTGATCTGTATGTGGGGGGGGTGTAAACTAATTAGTAAATTATTTAATAAACTAATAATTTTTGCATGTTTATCTTGAACCCTTTCACCTCACTGAACTCTTAGCAGTTCATGTTTTTCAGTTTCTAGGTTGTATTTTCTAGACAATCTTATACCTTGTAAATAATGTTCTATTGCTTCCATTCCCAATATCTGTACCTCATCTGCTAAGCCCCAGAGAACACTGTTGTAGAACTGAAGTGGTAGCTGACATTCTTGACTTGCTGCAGACCTTAATGAGAATAGAGAAACAATCACATGAATTCCAGTGTCATGCAACTAATAACTGCTTCCCATCCTGAATTTTACTCTACTTATTACTTCATTAACCTCACAACTCCACATTTTTACCCAACTCAAACTTTTTACCACACCTACGGCATCTTGGAGGGATGTTACTGTGCTCCAGTATTTCATCATTCAAAACCATGATGCAGATAGTTCTCTGCTAAGCACATGACATCAAGTTTCCTTCTCTACATTACCTACATTTAAAAAGTTATTGTGGACTATATTAAATACATCTTCAAGGTATGCTTTTCTCTTTCAATCTCTGTAATTTCCAGGTTATTCTTTTAATTTATTACTGGACCTAATTTACTAATAATTTTATTTATTTAGATTTTATTTGACAGAGAGAGTGCACGTGCACAACCAGGGGGAGCAGCAGGCTCCTTGCTGAGCAGAGAGCCCAATGAGAGGCTCGATCCCAAGACCCTGGGATCATGACCTGAGCCAAAGGCAGACACTTGACTGACTGAGCCACCCAGGTGGCCCAATTTACTAATATTTTAACATGGATTTTATAACTTGGTGAGAATATATTCCAGTGGTTTTGTCATTTTGTTTTTGGTAGTTTTCTCTCCAGGTTTGGGCAGCAGGGATAGAACTTTGAACAATGAATTATGAGGTCTCCTTTTTTTGTCTCTTCATTTCCCATATTCTGAAACAGTTTAAACAGAAATTACCTATTCAGGGGCACCTGGGTGACTCACTTGGTTAAGCGTCTGGCGTTGGCTCAGGTCCTGATCCCCAGTCCTGGGATCAAGCCCTGCATCGGGCTCCCTGCTCAGTGTTCTCCCTGTGCCCCTCCCCCGACTCGTGCTTTTTCTCTCTCTCAAAATCTTTTTTAAAAATTACCTATTCTTTGAAATTTGGCAGAAGATACAGAGTTTGTGGAAATTTCTGCCGATGTATTTTTTTTTAGTAATCTGAGCTTGATTATAAGTATACTAAGGATATCTGTTTCAAGAATTTCTAAAAATTTTATGTATTTCTTGAAAAGCATCCATTTCACTGAATGCTTCACCATATTCAATTTTTCTAGAAACAGGATTTCAGAAGTTTTATGAATGCAACTATATGCACTCTTATCAGAAGAAAATTCTTTGGGATGCCTGAGTGGCTGAGCGTCTGCCTTTAGCTCAGGGTGTGATCCCAGAGTTCCAGAATTGAGTCCTGCATCAGGCTCCCCATGGGGACCCTGCTTCTCTCTCTGCCTCTGCCTTTCTGTGTCTCTCATAAATAAATAAATAAAATCTTAAAAAAACAATAAAATTATTTTTCCTCTGCAAAATGCAAACACACACACCATCTTTGGAGGTTACATTCAGTGAAACAGAACTTAAGGCAGCCTGAAAATCCTTTGCATGTCACAGCTAGATTGCCCTCATGGTCCCCATTTCTGAGACTTGACAACTTATCATTAAGCTGTACACACAGCTTTCTCTTACAGAAAGAGTAGCACTGGCTATGTTGAGAACAGACCGCAGTGGGGCAAGTATGGAAGCATGGAGGAGTTATGCAGTGCTATTCTAGGTGATAGCCAATGGTAGCTTCAACTACGTTAACAGTGGAGGGAATGAGAACTGGTCAGACTCCAAAAATACCTTGACAGGTAAGCCAAGAGGATTTACACACACAATGTATTATCATCAGTAACAGTGCATTACAGGCAGATAGATTCTCAACCAGGTACAACTTTTGCTAAGAACCAATGCACTCCAAGTTTTAAGAAAATTAGGCCCACTGTTTTCACATTTGTGTATATCTATTTACATTACGCATAGTGCTTTGTAAATTTGTTGAAATTCATGTAGATGTTGGAAACAGACCAAACTTCTTTCTATTGTGACACGAGATTTACTTAAGACAAATTTAGTCAACTGCCAAAGCTTTGGGTCTTGTTATCCCAGAATTTCTGGTGGCAGAGGCTTACAAAACAAATTCAGACATGTTAAATATAAAATTAATGTCTGGATTAGGACTTTGCTTTATTAAATGTGTCCTTCATGCTACAATACAACCCTTCAAAGTTGATCAACTATGCAGCATTATATGCTTCTGCAGAACTTATAAATTTTAGTAACAATTCATAGCCACACCTTCTCAATTTCTACAAGGCAGCTTCAATGCCTGAAAAGGCTTATTAGACTGTGGCATCAAGTTTAATGCAAACTTAAGAAAAGCAACTATAGACCATTACCGGACTACCAAAACTAAGCCAATTCTGTATTATTTGATACACCTACTTCTCAACTCTCTAAAATTATTTCTTAACACTGGGAAGTTTTGAAAAACATCAATGCCAGGGCTCCATCCCTAGTCAACTAAATCAGAATCTCTGCAGGCTATCTTTTTCTTTCTTTCTTTTCAGGTTCTCCAGCAAATCTAATGTTAGCCAGAGTCGGGAGCTACTGTTTTAAGAGAATCTTACAAATAAATAAATAAAAATAAAGCATAGTACAGGAAAAGTGTAAGAAAATGGAAACGAAGTTAAAAATGAAAAGGCTCACACTTTGCTTTCTAACATCATTGACCTCTTGAAAGGTCCAAAAGTTACTAAAATTAGAATCTACATTATAACCGTTATCAATTAGGCAGTTAAGAAAAAGCATAAAATAAGGCCTAGAAAGATCTACGTTACTTATCTAGAATCATCTGGTCTAACAGTGTTTTCTAATATGGGGAGGTTATCAGATTTCAGGTATAAATCAATGCAGAAACAACTGGCAGGACACCACAGGAAGAAGGTGAAAAACCTCTGGCTCTGGTTTCCTGTGTTCCAGTTCAGGAAAAGAGGGAGAGAACAAAAAGGTGTGTCCATGGGAATGAGCTCCCATGCTCTAAAGGATAATTTTTATTAATTTCCTTTTCACTCATAATTTCAAAGATAAAGCAACATAAAATATGGGAGAAACCAAAGCTGGTTTTTAAAAACCTGTGTCTTCAAATCTTTACTGGTACAATAGTCCTTCAAGCCTGGAATCAATCAAAGATGAATCATGCAAAGTAAGAAGAAAATCTTTATTTGAAATAGGTTTGATATGTGTGCTACAGAACAGGCTGGTTCTAGCAAATAGTTTCATTTCAAACCTGTACTGATGTATAAATTAGACATTATTTGGGAATGATTAATTTCTGCTAAAATGTAGATTGAATCTAACATTATGCCAATTTTTACATTTATTGTAGACCCTATTTTAGCACTAGAGGTTAAATTTTCATCACCAAAAAATGAGAATAACCTTACAGCTACCACTAAGGTAATGAGCTGTGAAATTAATTTTCCAGTATTGCTTTGAAAATATACCCTAGGTTGTAATGAGAAATTCCAACTCCATCCAAATGTGTGATTTCCCTGGAATTCTTCAGTCATCATCTACTGTTGGCTTGATTGTCACTCCTCTTCTTATTTGACCCCAACCAATTAAACTGCAAAAAAGAAAATTTTAAAAACCATGAATTTTACACCCATTTCATTATCATTACCACACAATCATATGACATAACTGGTTTTACTTGCCTATCTGCTAAATTTGAATGTTCCCCAAAACTGCTGTTCCATTAAGAAAGCTGATACTTTTCTTCCTAGGTCCTCAGGGCCACAAAGATGGGCTCCAGATAGAATGAATGACCAAAAAAGCAAACAAAAAGTTGCTACTACAAATATGTTTGTCTTCACTCTACTGAAGTATACTCACCCCTCCAGAACCACCAGAGCCTTCCAGTCCACCTAAGGAATCATGCTGATACACAATCTATCACAGTCTGATTTTCTAAAAAATCTCATTTCCTATCCTCTTCTCTTGAAAAATGCTTATTTGTTATTATTTATTTTTTTTTACCATTCACAGCACTCAACAGATCACAAAGGATTCAGCATGACCTTAGCTGGTAATGAAAATTAAGGAGAGAACTAGAAGAATGTACACTCTATTAGCAGATTACTCTTAAATAGCAGAGGGACTTCCGCTCCCTCTTACAATGTTTGCTCTAATCAATGACTAGGCTGACAACAATAGCTTCTAGAACAAAACCCATCTAAACATGGGGTAAAACCACAATTCTAAAGAAAGTAAAAATCAGGGCAGCCCGGGTGGCTCAGCGGTTTAGCACCGCCTTCGGCCTGGGATGTGATCCTGGGAACCCAGGATCGAGTCCCATGTCAGGCTCCCTGCATGGAGCCTGCTTCTCCCTCTGCCTGTGTCCCTGCCTCTCCCTCTGTGTCTCTCATGAATAAATAAATGAAATCTTAAAAAAAAAAAAAAAAGTATGTAAAAATCATTCAGATGCTCTCATTTAACAATTTTAACATACTTGCTAATTTTTAAAAACCTGTTTTTTATTTCAATTTGTTATTATTGAAGTATAATTGACATACAGTATTATATTGGTTTCAGGTGTACAACATAGTAATTTGCCAATTCTATATATTATTTAATGTTTACCATTAAGTGTACTCACCATCTGGCACCATACATTATAATATTATTGACTATGCTCTCTAAACTGTACTTTCCATCTCCAGGACTTGTTTTATAACTGGAAGTGTTAATCCCTTTCACCTATTGCACTACCCTACCCACTTTGTTCTGCTCACCAGAAACCACCAGTTTGTTCTTGGTATTTACGGGCCTGTTTGTTTTTTAGATTCCACCTTTGAGTGAAATCATATAGTATCTGTCTTTCTCTGATTTATTTCACTTAGCATAATACCCTCTACAACCATCCATGTTGTCACAAATAGCAAGATTTTCTTCTATTTTTTATGGTTAATATTTCATTGTGTATATATACCATATCTACCTCATCCAATCATCTATGGATAGACACATGGCTATTGTAAGTAATGCTATAATATATATATATATATATATATATATATATATATATATATATATATATATATAAAATCTTCTCAAATTAGTGTTTTTGTTTTTTTAGGGGTAAATACCCAGTAGTAGAATTACTGGATCACATGATTATTTTGAAATATTTGAGGAACTTCCATACTGTTTTCCACAGTAGTTGCACCAATTTATATTCCCATAAACACTGCATGAGAGCTCCATTTACTCCACATCCTTACCAACATTTGTTATTTCTTGACTTTTTTTTTTTTTTAAGATTTATTTACTTGAGAGACAAAGAGTGTGCATGTGCACAAGGGGGAAGGGCAGAGAAAGAGGAAGAGAGAGAGGAAGAGAGAGAAACTCAAGAAGACTCCCCACTAAGAATGAGTGGGCCCCAATACGGGGCTTGATCTCACGACACTGAGATCATGACCAGAGCCGAAATCAAGTCAGATAGCCAATCGATTGAGCCACCCAGGTGCCCCTTTTTATTGTCTTTTTGACACTAACCATCCGGTGTGGTGTAAGGTGAAAATTCATTGTGGTTTTGATTTGCATTTCTCCCCAAAAATTATTGATGTTGAGTATTTTTTCATGTAGTTGTTGACCATCTGTATGTCTTTGGAAAAATGACTATTAAGGTGCACTGCCCTTTTTTAAATGGAATTGTTTGGCTTGTTTGGTGTCATGCAAGTTCTTTATATATTTTGGCTATTAAGCCCTTGTTGAACATACTGTTTGCAAATACCTTTTCCCATTTAGTAGGTTGTCTTTTCATTTTTTGCTGTGCAAAAACTCTGTATTTTGGTGTAGTCCCAATAGTTTATTTTTGCTTTTGTTTCCCTTGCTTGAGGAGACCTATCCATAAATATACTGCTAAAGCTGATGTCAAAAATTACTGCCTATGTTTTCTCTTAAGTTTTATGTTTCAGTCTCACATTTAGGCCTTGAATTTATTTTTGTGTATGGTGTAAAAAAGCGGTCCAGTTTCGGGGCACCTGGGTTTAGTGTCTGCCTTCAGCTTACGTCATGATCTCAGGGTCCTGAGGACTGAGCCCCGTTTAGGGCTACCTGCTTGGTAGGGAGTCTGCTCCTTCCCCCCACTCGTGCATATGCTTTCTATTTCAAATAAATAAATAAATAAAATCTTAAAAAAAAAAAAAGCCGTCAGTTTCATTCTTTCACATGTAGCTGTCCAGTTAGTTTCCCCAGCCTTCATTCATTGAAGAGACTCTCCTTTTCCCACTACATATTGTCATAGATTAATTGACCATATAAGCATGGGTTTATATCTTGCCCATCTTATTCCATTTATCTATGTGTCTATTTTTGTGCCAGTATCATACTGTTTTGATTACTACAGCTCTGTAATATAGCTTGAAATCTGAGACTACGGTATCTGCAGCTTTATATTTCTTTCTCAAGACTGTTTTGGCTATTTGGGATCTTTTCCATACAGATTTTAGGATTTATTCTAGTTTTATGAAAAATGCTATGCTATTTTGATAGGAACTGCACTGAAGTTATAGACTGCTTTGGACAGTAGCAACATTTCAACATGAGTAATTCTTTTTTTTTTTTTTTAAAGATTTTATTTATTTATTCATGAGAGACACAGAGAGAAAGAGAGGCAGAGACACAGGCAGAGGGAGAAGCGGCTCCATGCAGGAAGCTCGACATGGGACTTGATCTTGGGTCTCCAGGATCATGCCCTGGGCTGAAGGCGGCGCTAAACCGCTGAGCCACCTGGGCTGCCCCAATTCTTCTAATCCTTAAGCATAGTATATCTATTTGCTTGTGTTGTCTTTAATTTCTTTCACCAAAGTCTTACAGTTTTCAGAGTATAGGTCTTTCATCTCCTTGGTTAAATTTATTCCTAGATATTTTATTCTTTTTTTTTTTTTGGTATTTTATTCTTTTTGGAGCAACTGTAAATAAAATTGTTTTCCTAATCTTTCTGCTGCTTTATTAGTATATAAGAGTACAACAAACTTGTATATATTAATATTGTGTCCTGCAACTTTCCTGCATCCACTTATTATTAGTTCTAACAGTTTTCTGGTGAAGACTTGCCAATTTTTAAGCAAAATCTAAAGTTTCATGTGGATAGAATCCTCTTATAGATTACGGAGAGACGCAAAAAAATCCTTTTATTTTAAAATCTGTTCTGATCTAGGAAATCATTCTAACCAAGTACAAATAATACATTCCCTGTTAAGAGTTTCTGAAAATTTATTATTTAAGACTATTTTAAAATACCCTGGAAATCAGTGTGTCTATAATAGCAAATGATATAATCACACCAAAGAGTAAAATTAAATGACAAAAATCACCACAAAGCAGGATTATTTACTTAAAATTCAACCAGAAGTTTAACTCCCTCTAAATTATAGAGTAATAATTGAGATGAATCTTCTGAACAGATGATGAGACACCTTCATGGGGCACAGTATCAAGAAGCCTTAATAAGGGAAGTAAGTAGTGAGAAAAGAACAGAGAACCAAAAGTGATTTGAATAATTATGACAATAATGAGGTCTCAGAACAGTGTAATTGAGAGAGTTTGTATGAGACAAAGCAGGAACAAACATAAAATGCTTCCAGAAAGGTCCAGAGTATCATAAAGTAGTGAGAACCTACTGGAAATTATTGAAGACAGCATCATAAAAATGTTTTAGAGAGATAAAGTTTGACTGAGCTCTTAACTAACAAAGGAAGAGGAAATTAGGAATCTTTTGCAGTTAACTTTTACGTGTGAAACAATGGCAGTAAGGGGAATAAGACCACACAGAATAGAAAGCAAAGGGTAGATTCAGCAACTAACCAGGTAACTAAAAGCAGAGCCAGAAATCAAAGATATGTATTTCCTAGCTTAGCCATTCAAAGGACCTAGAAGGAAGAGCACCCTAGGAATAAGAGCAGACCTAGCACCCAAATCTTCATTTCTAAATATTATTTCCTACTAAAGGAAACCAGGCTTCCTTGGAGAAATAGCCAATTTTAAAACTGGAGCAGGGGAGGTACAAGATGGGTTTAGAATCTCTTGGGCCAGAAACTAAGGAATTGTTCATATTAAAAGGCAGCTCTGGTGGCTCAGTGGTTTAGTGCTGCCTTCAGCCCAAGGCATGATCCTGGAGACCCAGGATCAAGTCCCACATCGGGCTCCCTGCATGGAGTCTGCTTCTCCCTCTGCCTGTGTCTCTGCCTCTCTCTTTCTGTGTCTCTCATGAATAAATAAAATCTTTAAAAAAAAAAAAAAAAAAGGACATAGGAGCCAGCTTGAAGAGCTTCTACTAGACAAATCCTGAACAATCAAAATACACAAGGACATTAATGAAATCTTAACTACTGAATAAAACAGAACTCTGTGTATAACTAGTTAAGTAAATAATAGGAAAGAAAGAACAATAAATGAGAAGTGGTAGGTTGGAGGAAGGGTGTCACCATTTTGTAATCCTAAAATCAAGTTCAATTCAGACACGAATCATCAGTGGAGGCTAAATCCGGGGAGTGAGATGTGATGAGGAGTAGGTTATTCACACGGTCTCAGGGAGTCTTCCTACAAAATGCTTACTAGGTGCACAGGTAAAAAGAGGATGAGGTAGAAAAACTGGCCAATGCTGACTGCATAATCAAAATTAACCTCAACAAGGAGGATCAATCAGATCTCATGTGCTTCTGGCTGTGATTTCCTGAGAAGACATCACCACCTCTGTAAGTATTCCGGCCAAGAATACATAATCTGAATCTAATCTTAGGAAGTATCAGATAAACTCAAATTAAGGAAGAGTAAAAATGTATTCTTCAAAATAGTCAACATCAAGTAAGACAAAGAAAAGCTGAGGAAGTACCCAATTAGAGATAAAAGAAACATGACAGCTAAATGCAGTGAGGGAGCCTAGACCAGAGGGACTAGAGGACATTATTGGGACAAGCTGTATAACTAGAATATCAACTGTAGGTTTCAGTAATTTATCGAGAAAGTTTATACATATAAGGGTATATACACACACACGTAAAAGTAAATGGTCTATCTAGGAAAAGAGAATAGGGGTGTGTGCAATTCTTGCAATTTTTTTATTAAGTCTGAAATTATTTCCAAATATAGTTTTAAAAAGCCAAAAGAGAAATAATGAATCTAATAAACTCTTGGTCTTTTCATATGTTGTGTGTATCACAAACCAGGGCTAGAAATACAGATTCAAAGTTATCCAAAGAAATAGTTGAGCTAAAGTGTCACTAAGTGTTGTGCTCAAGGTAAACTGTGCGTGTCCAAGATCTTAGGGGAATCGACTGTGTCTTTTTTATTAGATAGTGACAAGGGCTAGTAAACTTACCGCCAATGTTTCTCAACTCTTCGGCTAAGGGCAATTTTTTCTCCTACTTCTGTGCACACAGGATTAGTCAAAACGATTTTGCCCAAATCGGCCTTGACTGCGCTAACTCTTCCTCCTGTTGACAGGGATCCTATGTTCACCATGAGCACTTCATTCTTAGACAGCTTTTGCACCTAGGAAAAAAAATCAAGGACACATAAACATCATAATCAAGAAAATGCTTTCTAAAAATGACTGCTTAATTTTCCTACATCCTTGCCAACTACAGATTATTGGCAATTTTCCATCTCTGCTAACCTAATATGAGACTTAACTTCCTGAAAGTCAAATTTACTCACCTTTTCTTAATCCCATGTTAGCTATAAAAGAATGAACCTCAAAACTGGTCTTAACATCGCTGCCACTTTTCGGAAATAGGACTTACAGAAAGCACTTACCTTTGCTGCTTTCTTGTCTCCTTCAGTACGTACACCTAGAAGCCGTCTGAGTAAGAAATAGGAGATTTCCAATTCTGTGAAGATCTCTGGTAAAGCTCCAACTGCACCAAGTACCTGTCCCACCATTCTGTCAGCCCGGCACAAAGTGGGGTCAATTTTTGTTCCCACTCCTGATATAAAACAAGATAAAAAAGCCCAACTTTTTATTTTCTATAAAGCTGTTTACACAAAACGTAGTCAAACAAGTACAGCATACACCTATACTTTTTTACACACATTTATATTCCCATACTCATATAAGAATTACATAGGGCATAACAAAATACCTTTCTTACCTGAAGAAACAGAATCATAAACTCATAGATTAGTTGGGCATTTGAGAACAATCTCTTGATTTAAATTCTATGAACAGGGCAGCCCAGGTGGCTCAGCGGTTTAGCGCTGCCTTCAGCCCAGGGTGTGATCCTGGAGACCCGGGATCGAGTCCCATGTCGGGCTTCCTGCATGGAGCCTGCTTCTCCCTCTGCCTGTGTCTCTGCCTCTATCTCTCTCTCTCTGTTTATCTCATGAATAAATAAAATCTTTAAAAATATAAAATAAAAATAAATTCTATAAACAAAGGACAGAGATGATTGCCTAACTCAAAAATAAGTATGAATATACTTATTAAAGGTTGAAAAAATACAAAATTCATAACGAGCAATTTGTAGAATATTTGCCTGCCATTTCTCCCCTGGAAGGCTAATTAAAAAATTAACTTCAGGACTTGACATATGATTCCTGGGATCCACTTCAAGATATTTTAGCTGTGAATGAGGAGGGAAGAAGATATAAAGATGAAGACTGGTAAAGTATTGGTAATTGTTCAAGCTCAGCAGTGGCTACGTGAGCATTATCATTAAATTATATACAGTAAACTCTTAATTACGGGATAGAAAAGTGAATTATATACCCCAAAACCAGATAACCAAAAAACAAACTCCTCCTTTACCCAATAATTTCTACTGTAATCCAAAGGTACAACATGTCAAATTCTCACTGAATCTTGTCTTTTTCTGGGCATGGGTTGTAAGTTGTAAATTGTAAGAGACTAGAAAACCCATATATCATCTCAGTAATTACTTCACAATTGAAGGCATTTTTTAATTCTACCTCAGAGTAAACATGATCTGACAGGATTCAACTGACATTTGTGGATAACTTTCCATTTGCAAAACACACAAAAAAATAACCACTCTCTACCACCAAAATTATGTAGACAAAAAAGTATACTTAATCATTTTAAATGCTGGATCATAAAACTTATTTTATTATTGCTAAAAGGAGTCACTTCACATACTAAACCAAAATGTGTTCTTCTTTATGCTTAGAAATAATTTTTACAAACATATGAAACCATCTTATGAACTAAAATCAACAGCTTAACCACATGAATGTTCCCCCACCCCAGTCAATTATTTAAAATACTCATTTAAAAATCTACAATATGTCTTTTTGGGTAATCCTTTTCCCATTGAAATACCTCCATGTTAAAAATGTAGGGATGAGAGAAAAATCCTTACCAATAAGACCTCCTGGAGCAGCATACTGAAGATCATTATGCTCTGCAAAGAGTGACACGATTTTGGAAAAGATTGGTTTACACATGAGTTTTCCTTCACTATCTTTGGAGACAATACCAGGTCTGACTTCTATCTCCTGGCCCACCTGTAAACACAAGAGTTAGTAATTGGAATCACTGTGGAATGATACCATTAACACTAACATATCAAAAGTCCTAACAGGGTGACCTCAAAACTGAAAAGGCAATTATTTCTCTTATGTTGAAGACTGTTAAAAAAAGAAAAGAGCTTCAAAATGAGAACCATCCAACCAACTGTTACTAACTACCTACCACAAAAGCTTATGTCCATATAAAATGTGCTCCATCCTCACACACACACACGTAAGTTTACTTTTTAATTTGGAGTATCCATACTATTCACTTCATGATTAAGACAAGGGAAAAACAAACAAAATAACACAATAATCAAAATCCAGTTCACCTTTAATACTCCTTTTAGAATACTACCACCAGCTACACCACCCTTAAGGTCATCAACTTCACAGCCAGGTTTGTTGACATCAAAGGACCTAATAACTAAAAGAAAAACAAATTAAAGCCAATTCTGCTCATTTTAACTTTAAAAGAAATATATTTTTTTCTAAGTTAACTTCTCTAGGATAATAATAGTCACGTAATATTTATACACACAGGGGTGACTTTGTGACAAAATCTATTATTATTACTCCTATATTTATCACACTCTTACTTATGATGAAAATAGTGGAGGACAGCCCCGGTGGCTCAGCGGTTTAGCACCGCCCTCAGCAGGGCATGATCTTGGAGAGCCAGGATCAAGTCCCACATGGGGCTCCCTGCATGGAGCCTGCTTCTCCCTCTGCCTGTGTCTCTGCCTCTCTCTATCTCTGTGTCTCTCATGAATAAATAAATAAAATCTTAAAAAAAAATAGTGGAAATAAAAGTTAATTGATGGGAGCATATTATGGTACATCCATATTGTGGAATTTCATGCAGATATTTAAAAAGAATGTTGTTTTTTTTTAAGATTTGAGAGAGTACATGCGCACACACTGGGGGTAGGGGCAGAGGGAGAGGGAGAAATTTAAGCAGACTGCACTGAGCTTGGAGCCCGATGTGGGGCCTGATCCCATGACCCTGAGATCATGACCTGAGCTGAAACCAAAAGTTGGATGCCTAACCGACTATGCTACCCAAGCACCCCAAAAAAAGAATGTTTGACTTATAATGTAATGACCTGAAAGGATAACCCACAAATACTATTAAAAAAAAAAAAACAACAACCTAGATATTAAAGTAACACACAGAGTACGATCCCATTTCTTTCTTTCTTTTTTTTTTAATATTTTATTTAGTTATTCATGAGAGACACAGAGAGAGAGGCAGAGACACAGGCAGAGGGAGAAGCAGGCTCCATGCAGGGAGCCCAACGTGGGACTCGATCCCGGGACTCCAGGATCACGCCCTGGGCTGAAGGCAGGCGCTAAACCGCTGAGCCACCCAGGGATCCTCATGATCCCATTTCTACAAAGTAAAACTAAAACAGGAAACATGTACATGTTTGTACATAATGATGTGAATAAAGAGGAAGGCATGGGAATAATACACACCACCTGTTAACTTTGGCTACTTCAGGGCTAAGGGGCCAGAAGTGAAAGGCAGGGAGATGGGACTTTTCTTTATCTACCTCTGTATAACTTCTTGTATTAAAATTTAGTTTTAAAACTATAAAACAAGGACACCTGGGTGGCTCAGTGGTTGAGCATCTATCTGCCTTCAGCTCAGGGCATGATCCTTGGGTCCTGGGATCGAGTGCCACATCAGGCTCCCCAAAGGGAGCCTGCTTCTCCCTCTGCCTGTGTCTGTCTCTCATGAAAAAAAAAAATAAATAAAACCATAAAACACCTTTAGAACTACATGAACTGAACTTAGTTCCTGAGAGCAGTGACCCTTAGCAAGGACACACAGCACAATCATCCAAAAGAACACTTCCCACAATATAAAGGGGGGGCACCAGGTACAGGCCCAGAGAAGCTCAAATGTCTGTTTTAAAAAGGCTCCTAAAAACAAAACAAAACAAAACAAAACAAAACAAAACAAAACAAAACAAAACAAAAGGCTCCTACCTCTCTCTAGAGGAACCACAACCACATCAGATGATCAAATTATATCAATATTGGTACTATGAACTTAAAGTGAAAGGGACATGAAAATCTTCATTAATGGTACAATGAAAACATTTGTATGAAAGCTCTTAAGACTCATTCATTCATTCATTCATTCGAGACACAGAGAGAGGCAGAGACATAGGTAGAGGGAGAAGTAGGCTCCCTGCAGGGAGCAGGATGAAGGACTCAATCCCAGGAGCCTGGGATCATGACCTGAGCCAAAGGCAGACAATCACTGAGCCACCCAGGTGCCCTGTATGGAAGTTCTAATATCCTGTTCCTGACTAAAACATTTTGATTCCATGGAGAATACTGTATGACTCCATCTTAATCAAGTAATATACCATACATATACACATCACAGAAAGATTAAAAGTTGCTTCTGTGTTCAGTACTCTGTCCCTCTTCCAGTAATGCAATCTAGCATTATCAATACAATCCCAGAATCAAAATAATTTTTACGAAGATTATAATTTATTATCTCTGCAGAAAGAGGAAGTTATTAATAAACACCCTCAAAGGAAACCACCAAAATGAAAAAGATCAAATTAAGAGTTAAAGATAAATACTATCACTTACCAATAAGTCGGGGTTCTGAAGTAAAGTCTCTTGGGGGTACTGGAATTTTCTTCACTATGTACTCACAGACAACTTCAATATTGTATTTCAGCTGAGCAGAAATTGGAATAATAGGAGCTCCTTCTGCTACTGTGCCTATACAAAATTCAGCAAGATTAAGACTCTTTAGTTTTACAAACGTGATCTTTCTGTTACATCAGTTAAGATAACCAAAACAGATGCCTAAACATCCTCCCACAAATGCCAGCAACAGATGCAAAGTGCTAATTCTCTTTAGAAAGGTAGCAGCATTCTGTTTTTACTCATAAAAATGAATACTAGTCCCTTTTCGGAAAAAAGTTGTTAAAATATATTAACACATATATCTAATATACTAAAATGGTAACACTGTCTAAAGGAATAAAACACTAACACTCCTGGGAAAAAGCACTTTACTAGTTGAAAGATTTCTAATAACGTGTAATTAACCCCCCCAATAAATGTCAGGGTAAAATTACAGACTCTTTGTTAATCAAAGACTACTGGCTTATATAATATTTGCTCCCTATTAATTATATGTTAAACAGGTTGGTCAAAGAAATGGACCAAACATAATTAGTTTTTAATCAAAATGACTTATTCTTTTCATCATGACAGAACTAGGTTCATTAGAGTCAACCCTTCCAACAAGGCTGAGAGAGAATTGTCAACAATAGCATGCATCATGTCTTCCCTAAAATGAAAAACCCTATACTATTAGAGAAATGAACACTAGGAAGATTTAACATATCATTGTCAGTTCCAAAGATCAAAGTACTCAGTAAGAATAGTCTAAGACTTAAGTTTTTTCAAAAGATGCTTCTGTTCATTAAGGAGGACTTTTTTCCTAAACTGACTAACAGTTTCCAGAATATAACTTCAGTTCTTTCAGCCAGCAAAAATATACTTTAAACTTTCAATTATAAAAGAAGTCACTGAAAAAAAAGTCACTGGGATGAAACGTACAGCATAGTGAATACAGTCAATAATATTTTAACAATTTTGTTGTTACAGACGGTAACTACACTTATTGTCAGGAGCACTGCATAATGCACAGAATTACCAGAACTGTCCAATCAATACATCGTACACTTGAAACTAACACAAAAGTACGTCAACTACACTTCAATAAAAGAAAATATTCTAGATATATCTGGATGAAAAAATGTATGCGCTTTAGTTTATCAAATTCACAAACACAGATTTCACTAACTGTTATCTAGTGGTTACAAAGTGGTAGGTAGAGAAATAGGTTTTAAGATCCATAAACTTCTCTATTTCAGATAGTCTCTTTTAGTAAAAGTTAATTTAACATCTGGTATCTGGATTAAATACCTCTCAAAGTGATTCATAGATTTATTACAGATTATGGCTTCTTACCTTGTACAAATGCAAGGATCTGTTCATACTGTTCCTTAGCCTGACTTTCTTTTACCAAATCAATTTTATTTTGTAAAATCAAAATATGCTTCAGTTTCATGATTTCTATAGCAGCCAAGTGTTCAGAAGTCTGAGGTTGAGGACAAGACTCATTACCAGCTAGATGATGAAGAATAAAAAAGATGCATGAGAATTAACTGGAAATATCCAGAATAGGCAAATCCATAGGGACAAAAAGCTGATTAGTGGTTGCCAGGAGCTGGGGGAAGGACACAGCGTAGAGTGACTGCTTAATGGGCATGAGGTTTCCTTTTGGGGTAATGAAAATGTTCTGGAACCAGAAAATGGTGATGCTTGTAGAACACTGTCAATGTACTTAATGTCACTGAGTTGTACACCTTAAATAGTTGTAACGGTAAATTTTATTTTATGTATATTTTGCTACTTAAAAAAAGCTTACCTGGTATCTAATAAAGGAAACTTTTGCATGTCCTAGCTATACCAGCAAAAGTCCTACATATCACTGCCAAGTGTCCACCTTTTGTCCTTGTTTAACACTCTGTGCCTGCATTCACTGGAGTCTTCAGATAATTTGGCTCTCATCCCTGGTGCTAAGCAAGAAGCTTGGAATCAACAAGTTTGGTATCCCAGGGTCTGCCCCTAGCCTTTGCTCAGGTATAAGGTATACCCTCTGGCTGTATCCAGTCTTAGAGATGTTATGGCCCAGTTAAGCTCCTGAGAGGCAGAGAATAATTAAGAGAAGACACTACAGTCTGTGAATTTCAACTACTACCAAAGGGTACTCCCTAACAAAACGAGATAAGAACACTAGATGTAAAGTGTTCTTTATACTCCTTCATTGTGTACTTGTATTGGAATTCAGAACTCTACCCTGGTAGGAAAGCACCGAAGCATGTGGGGGAAGTGAGACATTCTGGAATGAAGCATGTAGCTATATGGGGGGGAGGGGAGAGGGCTGCCTGAAAAACATGGTCTATGGGAATGACAAGCAGGGATGGTTTTTATTTGTCTTTTTATTTTTGTAAAAAGGAAAACTTGGAAAGACGGAGAGAATACATTTTATATCTGGATTTTTCCAAATAAAGATGGCTATGGTAATGGGGGTTGGGGTAGGATGGTGGGGGGGAACCTAGATTAAGGCTAGAAGAGTGTATTATTAAGAAATTGGCATGTTTTCTTGGGCCCTCCAACAATCATCTTCCCCAGGCAGTGATGTTCAGGTGTCCTACACTATCTACTTGGCATCCTTTCAAAAATTATGTCCCATAGGTTAGCATCTGCCTTCAGCTAAGGTCATAACACCAGAGTCCTGGGATCCAGCCCCACGTCAGGCTCCCTGCTCATCAGGGAGCATGCTTCTCCTTCTCCTCCCTGCTCTCGATCTCTCTCTCTCAAATAAATAAAATCTTTTTAAAATTTTAATAAAAAAATAAAATAAATAAAAATTATGTCCCATTAGCAATGAAATCTGACAGCTCACATAAGGAATGTAGTACAACTCTAGCTTTGAAAATTCCAATGAGGAAAAAAAAAAACAAAACAGAAAATCCCAATGAGGTCTACACTTTAGCACTTTGTTTATTTTTTTTACACTTTAGCACTTATTATAAATGAGATTTGCATCCAAATAAAACCACTATACGTAACTATTGCAGTGGACAAAAAATATACATACATTCATACACAAATTTAAAACTAGAATAATAAATCATCTCATGTGATCTAGGTGGGAAAAATGCACTACTGACTTTAATTTAAAATATATACTAACTGGGATGCCTGGGTGGCTCAGCGCCTGCCTTTGGCCCAGGGCATGATCCTGAAGTCCCAGGATCAAGTCCCACCTCGGGCTCCCTACATGGAGCCTGCTTCTCTCTCTGCCTGTGTCTCTCTCTCTCTCTGTGTCTCTCATTAATAAATAAATAAAATATTAAAAATATATATACATATATATGTATATATATATACACTAACCTATACAGCCCCAGAGCTATCTTGCTTAGTTATTTTATGATACCTGATAGGCAGGGATGTCATCATGGATGACATGTTAGCTCCCATTTGTGTCGCTCTTAGGTAATGGATATGGCCCTTAATGGCCTTAGTTCCACTTTAAATATAACATCTTGGATTTGCTCCACATTGATTTGTCAAAACCAATTCTGATATATTTACCTATCAACAGAAGAGCTGCATCCATCACTGCTGCACCGTTTAGCATAGTAGCCATCAAAATATCATGGCCAGGACAGTCAACAAAGGAAACATGTCTAGCAATTAAGAAATAACGATTAGTCCTAAGATCAATTCACATTTCAAAAGATAGAAATCCCCAAATCCAATCAAAATGAATATGGTATAGAATATAGTATAGAAAATATACTAGAAATGTCACCGATTTGAAAGCTAAAACAGTGTTTACAGAATGGGCAATGCCATCTGAAAAAATGATTTGTAAAAAATTCCTCTAGCACCTTGAAAAGCTGGAACTGCCAATCTGAAGTAGAGATGGCAGTACTATTTTAGCAAAACTGCTACTTACTGAAAATCACTATTTTTAAAGAATGTATGCTCACATTGTTATGATCTAAAAAGGGGTTAGCAAACCAAAGCCCTTAGGCCAAATCTGGCCTATGCCCACTCAAGCATATTATTTGCATCTGCTTTCATAATACAAAGGCAGAGATGAGTAGCCTCTTCCCAGTGCCATCTGAGGACCAGAAGTAGGGTGAAGTCAAGTGAGATATTTGCTTCAGGGGCAAAATTTAAGGGAGTGACAAAAAACTCACTAATCAAGATAAATATTTAAACTTAAAAACAAAACTAATGCCAAAAATTTCATGATGAGCAAAATATCAAAATTAACTTAACAATGTCACACTGAGCCCAAAATAGTGATACTGAAGCAAGAGGAAAAAGATCCGTGATTTTGAGCTTGTCTTTTTTTAAACAAACGATATTTTATGACAATTCTTTGCATCACTTTCAAAAAGCACCACCTCGAAATACTGTTTACTGAGGTTTTTGGGTTTTTTTTGTTGTTGTTGTTTAGGATTTTTTCTCTTATATTCTGGGCCCAAGGCAAGGGCCTCACTCACCTCTACCCAGTCCCAGCATTGCCCCAATGTAAAAAATTTCCTTGTGGGCCATCCCCAAACCCCAGTAACATCACTAGGTAGAAGCTGTATCCTCTGATAAAGAACCAGGATATGAATCACATTCAAAAAATAGATAGGCAACAAAAACATTCAGCAATTAGTTTCATTACAATGTGTTTTTTGAAATAGATCACCTGACTAATTTAAAATTCCCTTTGGTCCCTGGAATGTCTGTAGGAAATTCATCTGGTGTACTACTTCCACAGGATCTGTAACATTCTGGCCGAGGACAACTTGGGTCGTCAAGTTTATAAATCTAAAAATTCCAACGAAGAAAATATTCGAACTTGTTATCTGCACATTTAATAATCAAAGTTATTTCTAGTTCCACAGTACACAGCTCACCTTAGCATTAGCATATCCAAGCTTGATTGTAATATTTCTTTCTAGTTCATTTTTGAACCTGACAGTGTGAACTCCAGAAATAGCTTTTACAACTGTGGATTTCCCATGAGCCACATGACCAATTGTACCTATAGACAAAGTTTAAGAAATTAATTCATGTGCATTCAATTACACCAAATACTATTTCAAAAAGCATTGGAGTACAAAATCCAAAGCTATAACTTACTATAAATATCAATGTAAAAGAGTGACTTCAATTTTTCCTTCTTCATATTCTTTCCTACTAAAACCTTATTCTGGTACAGGACTGAATGGAACTGTCCATGTAATGACAATCTCATTCAAAAACTACACTCAGTGCTAGAGACCCAGGATTGAGTCCCAAGTCAGGCTCCCTGCATGGAGCCTGCTTCTCCCTGTCTCTACTAAATAAATAAAAAATCTTAAAAAAACAAAACAAAACAAAACTACAGTCAGTATAGTAAGTTATTCATCTTATGTTTCCAATCACATAAAAGACTGCCTTCATTTAAAATAAACACTCCACAAGAAAGAATTCTGTATACTAAGAAACTTTACAGCATAACCAGAGCAAAGTAAGTAGGTATGAGTCCTGACACAATCAAAAAGAATCTATGAAAACAGGAAAACAACCCAGGTTTAATTATGGTAATGCTATCAAGGATAGCATATATCTTATAGCTTTTTAATAACCTGATGGCAGAGCTTTACTATTAACTAGATTTGATTGTGCTGTCTGTACAGGTTGTCAGATACCCTAAATTTACACTCAGTCAACATATCTTCTTCTGTAAAGTTCTAGATGGCAATTGTGGGGAGGGGGGGGACCCTTTTACTCATTAATAGCTTATATACCAAATAAAACTTTAGAAAATTATGCCTTTGCAATAGCCCTGTATGGCAAGTACCACCACATTTTCATCTCTTCTGCTACATAGGACTACACCTTGCCTTATGCTACTAAAATTTTCATGTGTCTGTATTTTTTCTTTTCACCTAGACATAAACTAAGCATGAACAATACGTGCTTCCCACAAAATCTGGCAGGTGCTTTGCTCACACAGGCTCAATGTCTATTTCCTGAATGTCTGTAACCTCACAAAATTCAGGTAATCACACAAAGGGAGAAGTTAAAATTACTCGTCCTGATCAAGCAAGTCAGGTCACCAAGTTATTCTTATCTTACCTATATTAATTGTGGCTTGTCTGCTGATAACTTCGTGTGAAAGTGGAGTCAACTTGGTAACATCCTACAATGAAACATTTTTATTTTAAATCGCTGTACATAAGACAAATCACAGCTTTCCCTTTGACTTTACATTTGCTACCCACAGCTTGCCACCATGTGAACAAAGCACTTTTCCTGCAAAGGTGCTTTCTTGTACTCTGATGACTAGAAAGCCCTAAAAGCCCTTCATCGTTTCAGGAGACTACACCTCCACTCACTATGGGAGATGAGAAAACCCGAGACCCCCCAACCTCCCACTTTGACAGCATTAGCACTGAGGATGATGTAGATACTCCCTTCCCAGATCTTCAGAAGCAAAAGCCTTAGTAACACTTAGCATTAGGCCTTTCCAGCCGAATCCGTCAGGGATTTGAGGTCCCACAACCTCATATCCCCACGCAAAGCTCGCGCGGACGTGCCGAGGTGCAAGCGGCGGCACCAACACGGTTTAGGGCGTCCCAGTCCGAATCTCCCTAACACATGCTCCCGACATCCCGGCACTGCCTCGTCTCCACGCCTCCTGGGAGGCTCGATCATCCATTTCTGAGTTCACTCCGCATCCCTGCAGAACGTGACCTTACCAAGGTGGCGAGATCCTGGCGAGAAAGGTGCGGCTGCCCCAGAGTCACTCCAGCCTCGCCCCCCGCCATCTTGCTCCGAGAGGAAGGAAGTCGCCTCAGTCGCTTCCTGACCGAAAGCAGGTCCCCTTGTGTGGGGCGGGGAAACGGAGGGCGGGAAGGCCGACTAGGGCCCACGCCTGGGAAAAGAGGGGAGCCGGTGCAGCAGGGGCCTCGCTGCTTGGACTTCTCTCCGCTTGGGTTTACGCAGTGCCTGCCTGAAGACTCACTAAAAAACAGGAGGCAAAGTTTCGGAATCCATACGCTGCTGCCCTGGCGGATATTTGTGTAGGCAACGCTGAGGGCAGCCCAAAAAAAGACCCTTTGCTAGGCGGGTGATGCAACCGCCAAGCGCGCTGGCGAGGGAGAAGCTATTTCCGGTTCCCGTAGGGATGGCCGGAAGTTTCCTGGAACCTGGGAACGTTCTCGCGGGGGGCGGGGGGGGTGAGGCTAGACGGAGGGGCTGTCCATCTTTACTGATTTCCATAATTTAATAAGGCGAGATCGGCTCGGGGTGCGGCTCGCCTGTAATGGCCACGCTGGCAGCGCTCATGGCCCTGCGCGTCACCTGGCGAGTGGCGGGGAGGGCGCCCTCGCGCGGAGGTTTCATGAAGTGGTCAGAGGCCCAGGGATGGGAAGAGCCAAGTCCCTAACTTGTTCTCAGAGACAGGTTTCTAGGGCCCGGGAGGCGGGTCCATGGTGGCTCTAAACTGCACAGCATAGAGTTAACATAGGATAGAAGCGAAGTGCTGTAAAAGCGCCCAAGAAGGTTTGCTTTTGTTTTAAGCCCATACAGGAAAACTAACTTCTTTAATGGAAAAATTACCATCCAATCGGTATTTTAAAATTTAAAGACTTCAGGGACTTGACTTTTTTTCACGAGGTATCAAAAAGAAGCCGAGTAGTTTTTGTTTCTCCCCGTGCATTTCTACACTTTTACAAATTTTCTGTCATGAACAGCTGTTCATTTCTAGCCAGCAAAAAATGTAAGGAGAAGCGACCAAGAATTTAGATTACCTGTGTTTATTGAATACTTAAGTAAGATTAAAAGGAATATAGGTTTTCTATCACATACGTTTTAGGTTACAACAGTTTACCTAAAATAGGAAATTTTATTTCAGTAAGTGCATTCATTGGTTAAGTGATGGTAGAGAACTGTACAATGTATTGTATTTGAATGGAAGCATTTATTTCCTAAATTTAGCAACTTATAAATTTGTAAGTTTATAAATTTAGAATTTATCTTACATTCTAAATAGTTATACCAGCCAATTCAGGAAACCTATTGAGGTGATAAAAATGTAGAAATGTCAACTCATTACGCTATACACCTGAAACTAATGTAATATTGTATGTCAACTATAATGAAAGATAAATGTTGAACTAGTGGTGATGGTTGCACAACTTTGTGAATATACTAAAAACCAATGAATTGTATGGTTTAAAAGAGTGAATCTTGTGGTATGTGAATTATATCTCAGTGAAAAATAAAATTCATTGATAATGAATAGAACATAATATGCTTTATTGTCAAACGTATCCTAGAAGTAGAAATGTCACAAGAAATAATGTTATTAAGAATTATAAGTATTGGCACTGACTTAATAGGTATTTATTTTATTTATTTTATTTAACCCTCACAACAATCCGATGAGGTAGATAGTGTTACCCCATTTTTACAGGTGAGGAAAGTGGGTCCTTGAAAGATTATATAACATGCCCACAGTCCCACAGCTTCTAAGTAGCAGAACTGGAATTCATAGGCAATTACAAGCATACTCTTTTTAAAGAGTTGGCTTTGAGGTAAAGCTTGCATACCATAAAATTCACTACTTTATACAAGTCAGTGATTTTAGTAAATGTACAGAGCTGTGCAACCACAGTCCAAATTTTGAATATTTCTGTCACCCCAAAGAGACCCCTCATGTCTACCTGCTGTTAATCCCCCTTTCCATCTCTGGCCCCAGGCAACCACTAAAGATCTTTGTCTCTACAGACAATTTCTGGACATTTCACATAAATGGAAGCATATAATGTTTTTTGCATCTGGCTTCTCACACTGAGCATAGTGGTTTTGAGATTCATCCATGTTATAATAATTCCATCACATGGGCATATCACATTTTGTTAATCCTTTCATCAGTTGATGGATATTTGGATTGTTTGCACTTTTGGCTATTGTGAATAATACTGCTGTGAACGTTGGTGTACAAGTTTTTGTTGTGAATAATGCTATGAACATTTCTGTACACATTTTTATGAAAACATGTTTTCATTGCTCTTGGTAAATATCTAGCTGTCCAATTGCTGAGTGCAATGGTAAATCTATGTTTAACATTTTGTGGAACAAACTTTTCTAAAGTGGCTGCACCATTCATTCCTACCAGCAATCTATGAGGGCTCTAGTTTCTCCACATGCTCACCAATGCTTGATTCTGTTTTTTTCTTTTTATTGCAGACATTCTAATAGGTGCAGTTTTCATTTGCATTTCTCTAATGACTAATGATGTGTTGAGCATCTTTTCATGTACTTATTAGCCATTCACATTTCTTTTTTTAAGATTTTATTTTATTCATGAGACACACACACACACACAGAGAGAGAGAGAGAGAGAGAGAGAGAGAGGCAGAGACACAGGCAGAGGGAGAAGCAGGCTCCATGCAGGGAGCCCGACATGGGACTCGATCCCGGGTCTCCAGGATCACACTCTGGACTGAAGGCAGTGCCAAACCGCTGAGCCACCCGGGCTGCCCGCCATTAACATTTCTTCGGTAAAAAAGCTATTCCAGCCCATTCTTAAATTGGGTTGCTTATTTTCTTATTATTGAGTTGCAAGAGTTTTTTATATAGTCTGGATACAAGTTTCTATCAGATACATGATTTGCAAAATTTTCTGCCAGTCTGTCGCTTCTCTTTTCACTTTCTTTTTTTTCTTTTAAGATTTTATTTATTTGACAGAGAGAGAGAGCAAGTGCGCAGGCAGAGGGAGACAGAGAAGCAGGCTCCCCACTGAGCAAAAAGCCCTACATGGGGCTTGATCCCAGGAATCTGGGATCATGACCTAAGCCAAAGGCAGGCACTTACTATCTGAGCCACCCAGGTGCTCCAGTCTTTTCGTTTTCTTAATGGTATCTTGGAAGAGCAAAAGTTTTTAACTTTGATAAAGTCCAATTTATTTCTTCATTTATGAATCATGCTTTTGGTATCATTATTTAAGACTGCTTTACCTAGCTGAAGTTCACGAAGATTTACTTCTAGGGTGTTTTTTTTTTTTTTTTTGGTTTTCTTTTTAAAGATTGATAGTTTTGGAACGCCTGGGTGGCTCAGTGGTTGAGCGTCTGCCTTTGGTTCAGTGCATGACCCCAGGGTCCGTGGATCAAGTCTTGCACTGGGCTCCCTGTGGGGAGCCTGCTTCTCCCTCTGCTTGCGTCTCTGCCTTTCCCTCTGTGTCTCTCATGAATAAATAAATAAAATCTTAAAAAAATATTGATAGTTTTAGCGCTTATATTTAGGCCTATGATCTATTTTGAGTTAATTATTGTGTAAAGTGTGAGGAAAGAATTTAACTCCATCCAAAAGTTTAAATCTTTTTACATGCAATTGTCCCACCACTATTTGTTGAAAAGACAGTCCCTTCCCTATTGAATTGCCTTGGCATTGTTGTATAAAATAAACTGACCATAAAAGGGGTTTTTCTGGACTCTAAATACTGTTCCATTATCTGTATGTCCATACTTATGCCAGTACCACGCTGTCTTGATTTCTGTAGTTTTATAGTACATTTTGAAATTGAAAAGTGTAAGTCTCTCAACTATGTTCTTTTTCAATACTGTTTTGGCCCTTCTAGAGTTTTTGCATTTCCATATAAATTTCAGGATCAGCCTGTCAATTTCTGCCAAAAAAGCGGGGGATAGGGGGTGGGGGGGAAGCCTACCGGGTTTTTATATGGATTGTTTTGAATCTGCAGATCAATTTAGGGAGAATCACCATTTCAACAGTATTGAAACTTCAATCCCACAGGGCTATCCTGCCTTACCTATACTTAGCATTGCAACGCCCCTCACCAAAACAGTGCTGTTCCTCTCTCAAGTCGCCGGAAAGCATGAAGCTCAGTGGTCCTTTCAGCCAGGCTTGAGCCCTGCTGTTCATGTAATGCTTTCCCTGCTTCTACTTCAGCTACCACCGCCCCAAGCTGTGGCAGCCAGAACTAACTTACCTAAAGTCCCTCTCTACCCTGTATCGACAAAGACATTTTGTCCCAAGAGAGCTATGCAATCACTGTTTTTTTTTTAAGAACTTAGTTTTAGAACCAATAAATAACCTCAGAGCTTGGATTTAATCCCGTCTCTATCCTTAACCACACTCCCCAAACCCTAAAGCTGTGCTTCTGGCAACAGTTATTACTGAAGGCTTTTTTTCACTTCTTTCATTGAGCAAACACCATATAGCAGCTCTTCTTTGCTCCCACTCACCTCAGCTCTGGCGCTCACACTTGGTGTGTGTGTGTGTGTGTGTGTGTGTGTGTGTGTGTGTTTTCATGCACATCTACTGAAATGCAGTGCTTATGAATATGTGGCTTGTACCCTGAGGCTTCTAAAGTATAGTGTTGCTTTTCATTGGTTCATAAAGAACATAAGAATGATTAACTTGGGGGGGGAGGAATTTGTCGTTTTTCACACATTCATTTACAAGGGGGCATTGTCTACTTTGTGTTTCAAAGTAAATATAGTCCATTAAAAAACGGTGACATTCATTTCGTCTTTTATAGATAGTGGATGTTTAACAACTTACAATACTTTTCTATCTGGCTTGGCATATCACATTCTTTGTTTTACCCGTATCTCACTGGCTACTCCTGTCTCCTTGACAATTCTTTATCTTTTCCTGGATGACTCCCTAATATTGGAGTGCCTCAGGCCCAGTCCTTGCTTTACTTCATTCAGCCCCTTTGTAATCTCATAAACACCTCATGAACATGTGGCTTGCAATGTTGAGGCTTCTGAAACATAGTGTTATTTTTTGCTGTTTTAGCAGGAGTACAAAAATGATTAGCTTTTTAAACATTTATTCTTTGTTCATTTTCAAGGGGACCTTGTCTACTCTGCATTTCCAAGTAATCTATTCAGTTAAATTGGCAACATTCATGGCACCTTTTATTGATGACAGACATTTAGCAACTTCTAGTACCTATCTCTCCAG